AGGCAGTGGCAGATCCAGGATTTTGAAATAGGGAGGGGGCGAAACCGCATAGCCAGGATTTCATTTTACGGGGTGCGGATTTTGTGATAGCGCTGGTGCACATGCCTGCATGCTGAATAGGGGGGGGGGGGGTAAACAATAGGGGGGTGCACGCCTCTTGCGCCCTTCCTTGATCCGCCACTGAATAAGCGGTTTGTTTTCGCTGTGCACTTGAGCTCACAGCTTGAAGTGACACGGGTGTCGTGCATGTGTGCGCACACCGCAGACTCACACTCACTGCCGTCATACGAACTCTGCATTTTACATGTAGTTCTGTCGTCCTGTCGACTAATGTTTAAAATGATTTTAAATTAAATGAACGTGGTGTAAATTTTATATGGACTTTTAACGGCAAAATGGAGAAGCAGTATGTATTCTGCGTTGTACCTGTAGTTCTGTTGACTGATACTTAAAATGATTTTAAAGTAAATGAACTTAATATAAAATTAAGATAGACCTCGGAAGACAAAATTTTGAGAAGAAGAACGAATTCTGCAATACTGTAGTGCTGCTAATCTGCCGTCTATTATTTATAGTATTAAATCAAATAAACTAACGTCAAATTTATCTGGACATTTGAAGGCAACATGTAAAAGCATTCGTGCAGTTCAGTGCTCGCGTGTAAAGATGTAAATATTATTATGATGGAAAAAATGAGAAACTATAGATTCTACACAGGATGAATGTTTGCATGTGATTGCATTGATTGTATGTAAAGTCGAGAGGTGCAAAACGTATCAACACCATCGTATTTATGGGGCTTCCAGTCGACATGTTGGATCATTCCATGTTGTTGTCGACGTTCAGACCCAGGAGCTAGATATAGATATTTCAATCTAGCTCCTCGGTTCAGACAACGCTCGGGGCTTGTTTGCATAAATATCTACCTTAGTTACGACCAATTGGAATTGAGATTAGATGCCCCGCCCCCTCCCAGAATGCGTGTGTCAATGGATCTTGTCTGAATAAATCTCCGTATACACACACATTTGATTTATATATATATATATATATTTGACTCCATAATAGAGACTCTATCATGGACTCTTGATATATATATATTTTCATATCGACGTCCGTCTGCTACATTTTGTTGTCGTTAATACGACGCTCAAGGCTGGTATGCATAAATATCTACGTTTTAAGATACTGCATACTACGTATATATAACAACAACACACACGTTAATCTTAAAGTTGAAAAAAATCCCTTGGCTTGTTTAATCAATTAGTGTTCAATTAATTAATTTTAGCGCGTGTCGTCGATTCGCCGGACGTTTTCGAAATAGTTAATCGGACATCGGTAACGCTCGCGCGGAAAACTAATCCGACAATCAGGACAGCGCCCCCTTGCTGGCAGCGCCGCCTCGTTAATTCTCCCCGGCGGACGGTGGTGCCCTCTGCCGGCGATGCTGCATCGCTAGTTCTCCATATCTCCGTCGTCGAACAGCGGCGCCCCCTGCTGGCAACGCCTCGTTATTTCTCCACGCTGCTCTTGTTGCTGTCTTGTTACGATGCGCCTCCGCACCTCCGGCGCCCCCTGCTGGCAACGCCTCATTATTTCTCCACACTGCTCTTGTCGCTGTCTTGCTACGACGCGCCTCCGCGACGCCGGCGCCCTCTGCCGCGGCGTCCAGCTCATCATCGTCCAGCGATGTCATCTCCTCGCTAATCTACTTTAGATGGGCGCCGCCGCCGCCACGCAAGCCTCCATACACGAGGACAGCTCCGTGGAGTTGTTCAAAAATACGTACACAATCTATTATCCGAAATTCTGAAAACCGAAAAGCTCCGAATCGTACAGCAATTGGCCGCTTGAAAACTTGGGGTTTAGTACTGGCTAGTTGCAGTATATACGGTATGTATACCCAGGGTTAGAAATTAACTTTTGAGCAAGGGAGTCCAACGGACTCCCTGCACTCAAAAAGAGGGAGTCCGTATCAAAATGAGGGAGTCCGTAGCAAAATGAGGGAGTCCGCAGTCTGAAGTTCAAAACTAAAGCACAACAACAATAACGCATGTGCCTATTTTGAAGATTCATGCGATGCACGTCTGCCAAATTTTCTTTGGACATTTGCTGGAAAAAAATACGGTAATTCCGTGAGGCCATGCTCTGGAACGAACTTGTTAGTATAGCAGAATTTTCAGGGAGTCACACGGATTCCTGCATATGTCAAATCAGGGAGTCCGACAGTAAATCAGGGAGTATTTGACTCCGGACTCACGTTAATTTCGCACCCTGTATATCTGTACTGTACTACCATTCCGAAATACGAAAAATTCCGAAATCCAAACTTGTCTGGTCCCAAGGGTTTCGGATAATAGATGGTGTACTGTACGTTATGTCACATTTTATCCCTTGTCCCTGCTCCTGTACATTTCATACAATTTTAATCCATCGTTTCGGTTAACCTAACCTAGCCCATCGTTACAGGACCTGCATGCATCGTACACTTATTTATAAGAGTACACTATACTCAAGTTATATCATGCCTTGCAGTTGAAGTTGTATGTTATTTGCATAGACATTATCAATGACATTGACATAGACAACGTAGACAACATCAACATTGTATATGATGGATAATTGCCAAAATAAAAAAATAAAAAAATAAAATCATGATTCATTGATTGGATAACGTGATCGTTGCGGACAATTGGGTGTAAAAATATCCAAGAACCTGTCTCTTAACAAGTTGTCAACTTCAGGTCAAGTAAGCACTCAGTATAAACAGGGTTAGCAGATCTAGACGATCTGCAGCCCGGATATCCGCGCGAAGCGCGCAAACGCCGCGCAGCGGTGACAATAAATCTTATTCGCTGCCCTATATAGAAAAATTTCCCCAGTGCCCTTTGGGTACAGGATAAAGCCGTATAATCGGTCAATTGAGGAGTTGTGGCGATTCCACAAGCCTTTCGACTATGCACGTAGGTCGAGAATAAATACAAATGCTGGTAATTGCTCGTTTGCTGGTCGGCGCGTTTCCTTTTCGTCTAGAAAAGCGAGTTTGTATTTCTTCCGTTTCACGCCCTGAATTTATTCTCGTACATATGGCGTCCAATAGATGGCGCGACGAGGCCCTCTTCGAGGGATTTTCAAGGGAATTTTCCACACAAGGATCGGCGATTCAGCTTAGACTGCTCCGCGGTGGAGAGTTCCACACGCTGCACAAACTATAACTTTAGTGTAGCGAAAGATACTTGGCCGAGTTAAGGTCCGTACCAGTCTAGCTCCAATCGTGACGTGCGATTCTAATTATCGTAGCCATCTTAGTACCCCCGACGTTGATTGGCTATAAGCCCGTTGATTGATGTTTGTTTACACTGAGAATTTCTACTAAATGTTATCTGGAAAAGCTCCTGGCTCCGTACGTGCGAAGTTTTTATCAACCTCTTAACCCC